GCCAGTCGCTTACACTCAACCGGTGGAATGTAGCGAGTGCGGAACATATCCCTGAATTGATCCCAAGTAACTGCAACTCTCTGATCATCAGTGTAGGACCCTATCATCAACCTCCACCAGTCCTTTGCCCTGGACCTCAGCAAGTTCAGGTCACATCTGACCTTCTGGTCAGTAGGACATGGGCATGTAAAGAAACATCCCTCCATGTCGGACATCTACCTTATGCCTACAATCAGGTCCTATACCCCATCAATAGTCGGGGGCTTCGTGTTATCAAAGTCCCGGTACTGAAAATCCCGACCAGCTCCTCCCCTTGTCGTTGTTACAGCTGCTGCGATAGCCGTCTTAGCAATGGCTGCATAGCACTCATCAAAATACTCAACCATGACAGTCTTAATAGACTCAAACATCTCCATAAACTATGCTCGGAACAAAGTAGCAACCTCATCATCCAGGGTCTCTCGAATCCTGACATCCAGATCATCCAAACTCATCTGAATAATGACCTTGGGCACTACTGGTCCCTCTTGACCACCATCTCCTGATCCTGATCTGGATCCAATAACCACCATGCTAAAAATATACCAAGAAGATATCAGACATTCCATATAAGAATCCGAGAACCAATTCCCAACAAATCCCTAGGGGTTGTGACTTCATTGCGACGCGTATGGGTCATGTGCTTTCAGTAGTACATGCCCATACTACCTTCCACACCTACCCATATTTGTCTCAAGTATCATCACAATACCCTAACAATATACATAAGCATGGCGAGCGCTCAATCCCCACTCCTAAAGGAATGCTAAATATCTCATAACTGTCCTACTGACCCCGCATAACCCACCCATGAAACTTCAACCAACCCTGCAGCACTCGTGCATGCTAGTTATACATAACGCTGGACCATATAGACTTTCAAATACTTGATCCTACCCTAAACCCTTAATCAAACAAGAACAAGAAATAAGGCCAAACCGAACATTCCAGGCTATAAGATCTTAATTATGTACAGTCGTGATACATACACTAAGCAACTACAATAATGATGTCAATTTCATATAAGGAAAAACCTTAGGTTATCAGGCATCATAAAATCAGGCAATTCTATCATGCAATTCTTGAAGATCCCTAGCCTAGTACTAGCATGTTGTTCTAACATATCACAAAATCAAATAATCCGTAAGGTATTTACTTACTGGCTCCGACTGATCGCACACTTGCATCCTCCATCAGTATTTTGAAAACCATTTGAAATTTTTTTTTAAAATTTTGTCCTTAGTTTGAGATTGGAGACACGCGAGTGTTCCCTCCAATTCACTAAAACCAAGGCTCTGATACCAAATTGTAACACCCATAAAAATCATGCCAAATTAAAAAATTTATATCATTCAAAAACCAATAATTATTACAAATTTGTTTTCAAAATGATTTCATGTCAGAGTATCCCAGAATCAAATCATAAAAACATAAGGAGGTGCACGATCACACCTTCGCCTTCTTGCGGTCACCAGAAGTACCTGAAACATAATCAAAAACTGTAAGCCCGAAGCTTAGTGAGTTCCCCCAAAATACCAACGCTATACAAACCATATCAATATCAGATAAACAAACAACATGCATAATGAGCCATCAGCCTGACTGGACCGCCTCGCAGGGCCATCAGTCTATCTGGACCCCTCTCCGAGCCATCGGTACGTCTGGACCGCCTCTCAGGGCCTTTAGCCTATCCGGGCCGATCGCAGGGCCTTCGACCTGACTAGTACGCCTTAACCGGGTCTGTAGTCTATCCGGTCAATCCTGGGTATGTTGGCCTAGGCACGACTGCCTCAACCTAGCCCCAAATCAAACAATCATGTGCACAAAAATATCATACACTAACATATATAACAATCAAACTGATCTAACAGATCATTAATCATAACGTCATCATATATACTAGGATACCGGCCTAACATGTCACTAACATAACATAATCCTATAACAAATGACCTTATAGATTAATTGCTTATTGCTTAAGCTATGTGGTGTTTTGGACCATAAAGTTGAGATCTATGCACTTTGGAGGGTTCTAAGGGATAAAGTTGGAAACTTTATCCATCTAGACCCTAAAATGGACTATATATGAGTTGGAGAATCCTTGGAATCAAAGAAAAACAACTTAATTCGTTAAGCTATTGAAAACCTAGTAACCACAATGTGGCAAAGGTCACCACGACGTGGCGGCTAGGCTGGTCACGACTATTTTGTTGTATCGACACCACGACGTGGTGGTCAGTCTGTTGACTTTGACCAAGTTTGACTTAGGGGAATTTTGGATATTTTGAGTTGTATTTAAGAATTGGTCACTATTTGTTGGATAAGTGATCGATAGAGCTGATATTCAGAGCTGTGACATGTTCAACGATCATTTCAGACTGAGAGGTGAGTTTTCTTAACTGCACCTGTGGGTCGAAGGCACCAATATCGACCCACAAGATTATGTATCATGGTATAGAGGATGTGGATATGTTATGGTGGTATGTTAGATTGGTATCCTGGTAAATATGATGTAGTATGCGATAATATGCAGTAGTAATATGTAGATCTGCATGTTTGTCTGATGACTGATTATATGTTTATCTGTTTGCTGGATATATGATATATGTTATGTATATGTTGACATGGTATGGTTGGGTTGAGGTAGTACTACTTTGTGTTGTAGCCAACAAACCCAGGAGCGAGCCAGACATAAGCTGTGGGCCCTGAGGGCAAGCCAGACTTATGCCGTGGGCTTGGGAGCAAGCCATATATGAGCTGTGGGCCTGAGATGCAAGCTATACTCATATTGTACCAATCTTTTAGTTGTGGACCCAATATATGTTGTTATATGTTGTGTGTGTTAGTACTTTGGGGGAACTCACTAAGCTTTAACTTACAGTTTCAATTTATGGTTTTAGGTACTTCAGATAACCGTAACAAAGTGAAAGCGTGATCGTGCATATCATCCTGTTTTTATTAGATTGCGTATTGAAAATATTCTGATTTTAATAATACTTTGAAACAATGGTTTTGTAAACATTTAAGAGAGAAAATGAGTTGTTTTTGAAAATTTTAAATTTTTATGTTTTTTGGGATGTTACAATAATTTACTCAGAACTACAAGTTTAGTGTTTTTTATTTAATTTTAAATAATCATTCATAACTTTGGTTTTTATTTGGTAATCGTCATCAACTCAAATAAAGAGATATTTGTATCCTTTTATAATAACTCTCCTTTTTATTTTTTTATTTATATTGATATTAAGGCTCACTAGTGGGTTATATAAAATAATAATATAGCCCCATTTTTTGTTTGAAGTACAGTACTAGCACGATCATAAACGAAACAAATAAATAATATAGTAAATACAAATATGGTCCCTATAATTAACTTAGAACTACATTTTTTTTTTCTCTAAATTTTAAATAATCATTCATAACTTTGGTTTTTATATGGTAATTGTCATCAACTCAAATAAAGATATTTTTGTATCCTTTTCTAGTATCTTTCCTTTTTATTTTTTATTTATGTTGATATTAAGGCTTACCACCCACTTTTTACCCATCTACATATTAATAAGATAGAAATCAGAAACCAGAAAACTAAATTCAAATGTCAGAAGGTTTCGTGAAAAAACCAAGATCGATTTATTATCAATCGATTTATTTGTTATCGTTAAAATATGGAATTGATTAATAAGATTCTTCGATCAATGGTTAAGAGAGACCCAATGCGAAGATTGTTCCAGATGAATCACACGTCTCTTAGTCTTCTTTGTTGATTTTGTTTTAACTCCAATTTAATTCATTTTTCCGCACTATAAACAATATATCAGAGTTTTTTCCTAACTAATATAAAATACAACCCTACAAATTTGGAGGCCCCAAACTATCGTCCATTGCCACAACCTTAGGTCCATCCCCTTCCATTCCATTGTTTACATCGAAGGGAAAAAAATATGTGGCTATACTTGTAAACTAACTTATTATATAGCAGGTGAAGTGAATTTTTTTTTTAATTAGTGATTAATATGTAATGAGCTGTTTGGTCCGATCTAATTTTTTTGAATATCTTTTTGTGCTTCCAACATATCCAAATCCTAGATTTGTCACTATAACAACAACAACAACATGCTACTTTCTGAAATATAAATACGTATTTACATGTAATACGGTTAAAACGTATCATATTTCATGTCGTGTAAACGTGTCCGACACAAATACACAATTTTGGGTGTTTGGCTTAGCTTTTTAAATGACTTTTGACTTTATCTTTTAGAAAAAGTCTTAAAAGATGTTTGGCAAAGGAAAAAGGACTTTTGTAAATGATTTTTCCCATAGAGTAATTTGAGTCTTTTTGAAAAGTCACGATTACCTGACTTTTCCCAACTTTTCACCAGCTAAAAATATTAAATTACCAATATACCCCTCATCTACCCTAAACAAGTTTTTTTTTTGTCATTTTACATGTAAAAGTTAAACCAAACACTTTAATTTTTGATTTTTTCCGTTCAAAAGCCAATCCAAACACATTTCAAAAAAATAACTTTTGTAAAAAGTTCTTTTACAAAAAGTCCTTTTACAAAAAAAACTTTTGCCTCTCAAAAGCTAAGTCAAACACTCTCTTATTACTAATATCATCTCTTTTGTAAAAAATGTAAAGTGAAACTAAACTATTAATTCATTTACACATGAAAAAAATGGTCGATTTTTGATCTTCTTTCTTGCTTTTGTTGCACATTCATATATCCAAACCTCATACACAACATTTTGTCCCATACTTTTCAATCCATCTTTGAATTTCTTTATGTGTAAGCACAAGAATCTCGTTTATCGCATTCATTAAACATTCTTGATGTTGTATTCACACGAATTGACCTATATGGAAAAAAAATTAATTAGAGATTTTTTAGCTGCATTGTTGCCACTAAATCTACAAAGTTACCAATTATATTTATTTATATATATATATACAAAAATGGTGTGAAAAAATTAAAAGGTTTCTAAGCATCCATCATAAAGGCTTTTATGCTCCAGGCCTGGAGTTATCTTGGTGGACGGATTTTCCGTTTCCTTCTGCCCCGGATACTAAGATCCAAAGCAAACCCTGATCAATTTCCCATTTGGATACTTTGATTTTGCCATATCATACGAAACGAAACATACACTAGGTTATAATCAACTCTTCTGTAGGTATGAAAATAAAATCCTATTTTCCAATATAAGCAACGATTATATGCTGATATAATTGTGTTCTTCTCTATTTTGAGCGTAATTATTAACATAGATGCTCCTGAATTTTGTTCCAATCTAGGGATTTCTCGGATGTAAACCTTATCTGGTTATTTCCTGATGCACATTTTTTTTTTCTAGCAAACCTAGGGATTCAGACCTGTTCAAGTCTATATTATTTTAATTGCAAATCCGTTATATAGTTTTGTAACCCTAATTTGATCGATTGATGCTTGCCGGCTGCCTTTTGGGCTTATATGTTAGGTCAAGTTAGTTATGTGGGATCTGGTGTTGATCTCAATTTAATATGTTTTTGAACTGATTAGTTGTTTGTGAATATCAAATCTACTTGTTTTTTGCTCATTCTGTCGTTAGGGTTTAAAAGCTATCTTCAGGGTAGATGCAGAAACTTTTGAGATTATGAACATGCAAGTGCGCTAGAGTTTTAGTTGTTCATAATTCACATATTTGTCTCAGTTATATTGATCCTATATTATTGCGTTTTGAAGACTGCTTTCAGGTTTCAAATAGCTTCATAAGTTGGCTGATAGAACATACTTACCTGTTGGCGAGAATTATAAATGCTTAATGCCTTAATCAGTTAATTGCATAACACCACATGTTGTTTTTCTTATTATTGATAATGCTGCTGCAGATAACATGTTTTAAATATCAAACAAGCTCAAATAAGAGTCCAAGAGCAAGCAAATTCATGATGGGGACAGAACTCATCAGGCATCATGTTAAAGAAGAGAACATGGAAATTTCATCTATTCCACCAGGTTTTGAGTCACTTACAGCTTTTTCCCTAAAAAGAGTGGACAATAGTTCACAGACAACAAAGGATGAACCAGGGGTTACCTACATTGATGATGAAGATGTAAGAAGGTCTATTAAGCGTAGACCATGGATAAACCATGGCAGAATTGATACCACTTCTGAAGATGAGTCTGATTCTAAGCAGGTCATTTACATTGTATTTCCTTTTTTTGGTTATATTTTATTTTATTAATTATTAATTCATATTCTAACTGAATGAAATAATATATAATTATACAGAATCAAACTTTGGGTGCTCAGCTTCCTAAAGGGGTTGTCCGTGGATGTGAGGACTGTAGTAACTGCCAAAAGGTTATTATTATTAATCTACTTGCACCTTAAATTGTTATCTCAGGGCTAAATGCACTTTCATTTATTTGTGTATTATAGCATCCTACATTCATTTCTTTCCATTACAGTATCGTACTTTCAGAAAATTTCTTCTCAAGGCATTGTACTCTGATAATCTACTTAATTATGACATTGTGTTCAAATTTTTCTTATTAGAACCTTATACTTTGAAAACATTCATCAAGGCATTGTACTTTGAAAAATCTACCTAAGCATAACATTGTGCTTTCATTTTTTTTTTACATATTAGGACATTATACTTTGAAGAATCTACACTGTTATAGCACTGCAAATTGCTTATAATTAGAAAAATGAAAGTAGAATGCTATAATAAACAAATCAATGGAAGTACGTTGCTATTTAAGCTAAAACACTTGTATATCCAGGTCATTGCAAGATGGCATCCTGGTGAAGCTCGCATGCCTGATCTTCTTGATGCTCCTGTTTTTCACCCGAGTGAAGAGGTCTTTTTCTTTCTTTCTCTCTTTTTCTTTCTCTCTCTCAAAAAATTGATGTCATAAATTTCCAGGAATTTGAAGATACACTAAAGTACATTGCTAGCATACGTGAAAAAGCTGAACCATATGGTATATGTCGTATAGTGCCACCTCCATCATGGAAACCTCCATGCCCTCTCAAGGAAAAAACCGTGTGGGAATCTTCAAGATTTTCTACACGTATCCAGAGAATCGATAAACTCCAAAATCGCGATTCATTTAAAAAAATATTCACACCAAATTACCACAAAAAAAGAAAACAAAGAAAATGCTCGAAACCATTGTCAGATAATAACTCATCCCCTGTTGAACCCGAAGATGGTTTTGGTTTTGGTTTTGAACCGGGTCCACAATTCACTCTTAAGGAATTTGAAAAGTACGCAGACGATTTCAAAAACCAGTATTTCATGAAAAATAACAATTCTGAACCTTCGGTTGAAACAATCGAGGGTGAATATTGGCGTATGGTAGAAAAGCCTTCTGAACAAGTTGAGGTGCTTTATGGTGCTGATTTGGAAACTGGCACGTTTGGTAGCGGGTTTCCCAAAGAATCTAATCAAATTCAAATTCCAGGTGGGCCCCACGAGAAGTTTGTTAGATCTGGTTGGAACTTGAACAACCTTCCGAGGTTACCGGGGTCCGTTCTCTCATACGAAAGCAGTGATATATCCGGTGTTTTGGTCCCTTGGTTGTATATCGGAATGTGCTTTTCATCATTTTGTTGGCATGTTGAAGATCATCATTTATATTCAATGAATTACATGCATTTTGGGGCTTCAAAATTATGGTATGGAGTGCCTGGAAAAGACGCGATTAAACTTGAAGCAGCTATGAGAAAGAATTTACCCGATCTTTTTGCTGAACAACCAGACTTGCTTCATAAACTGGTGACACAGCTTTCCCCATCCATACTAAAATCAGAAGGGGTCCCGGTTTTTCGATGTGTTCAAAATCCCGGAGAGTTTATTTTGACTTTTCCTCGGGCGTATCATTCGGGTTTTAATTGTGGGTTTAATTGTGCGGAAGCGGTCAATGTGGCCCCCGTTGACTGGTTACCGCATGGTCAAAACGCGATTGAACTGTATCGTGAACATGCCCGCAAGACTTCAATTTCTCATGATAAATTGTTGCTTGGAGCTGCAAGAGATGCTGTGAAAGCTCATTGGGAGCTTAATCTGCTCAGAAGAAACACACCGAGCAATTTAAAATGGAAAGATGTGTGTGGAAAAGATGGGGTTTTATCGAAAGCACTTAAGGCACGTGTGGAGATGGAGAGGGTAAGGAGGGAATTTCACTGCAAGGGTTCACAGGCGTTGAAAATGGAGGAGACTTTTGATGATAAAAGTGAGAGGGAATGCAGTGTGTGCTTTTTTGACCTACATCTCTCAGCTGCAGGATGTCACCGTTGTTCGCCTGTGAAATATTCTTGCTTAAACCATGCGAAACAGTTCTGTTCGTGTTCTTCAGCTTCAAAATTCTTCCTTTTTCGTTATGATATCAATGATTTAAGTATATTGGTTGAAGCTTTGGAAGGGAAATTGAGTTCTATATATCGATGGGCAAAATTTGATCTCGGACTTTCTCTATCTTCCTATGTAGTAGCTAAAGATGATGATGATGACTCCTCACGAATCCCCCCAGGGCATAATGGTAATTCTACACACACTCCTGAGAAACCTTCAAAGCCTTCATGTATGGTGAACGATACCGTCATACTTGTTAGTGACGATGAGGATGAGGGTGAGTCCCCACCACTTGCTGACATGGAATCAACACGTGGGTCCCATCCGGAAACTGTTAACATTCCAAATCCTGTGAAATCTGAAGATGTGTCAAATATAAAAGAGACTGGAGTTTGTGGTCAAAATAGTTTGGATAAATACTATCGCCAAAAAGGTCCTCGCATGGCGAAAGTTGTTAGAAGAATAAACTGTAATCCCGACCCCTTGGATTTTGGTGTAGTGCAATCTGGACATTCATGGTGCGACACTCGTGCTATTTACCCTAAAGGTATAATAAATATATTTAACATGAACTCAGAATTTAAAAAAAAAAACAAAAAACTTACATAAATATTACCTGTTTTTCATACAGGTTTCAGGAGTCGGGTTAAGTACATAAGCATTTTAGATCCAACAGATATGTGTTACTACATTTCAGAGATCCAGGATGGAGGACATGATAGACCACTATTTATGGTATTTTTAAAATCATCTATCATTCTGATTACACGCTTCATTTTACTATCTATAAGATTTTATATAAAGTTTTTTTTTTTTTTTTTTTTTTTTGGAGGTTTCGTTGGAGGATTGTGAGAATGAAGTGTTTATTCATTTATCAGCTGCAAGATGCTGGGAAATGGTTCGAGAGAGAGTAAATAATGAAATCTCAAAGCAACATAAGCTTGGAAGGTCAAAGCTTCCTCCTTTACAGCCTCCTGGAAGCCTGGATGGCATGGAAATGTTTGGGTTTTTATCTCCCTCTATCTTACAGGTAACAAACAAACAAGAGATCCTAATTTTAATAGTAAATAGTATATACGTGTGTGTGTGTGTGTGTGTGTGTGTGTGTGTGTGTGTGTGTGTGTGTGTATATATATATATATATATATATATATATATATATATATATATATATATATATATATATATATATATATATATATATATATATATATATATATATATATATATATATAGAAAATACGCATGTTTAAAAAGTTGTTACAAATTGGCAGCGTATTCAGTCGATGGATAGGAATCGGGTGAGTAGAGAGTACTGGGAATCACGGCCTTTTCACTCTGATGATAATGGTGATTTAAATACAAATACAAATACAAATACAGGAGGAGATGATGCTTCTTTAATGGTTAGTTTGTTTGAGAAGGGGAGTTTAGAGGAGTTAAATATGTTAGTTAGTGTTTTGGTTAAAGCTAATTCAACTGCTGACTGGACCCAGCTCCAAACACTTGTTAGTGAAGAGATACAAAAGCGCAAAAGCTGACTGACTTGATTACATATAAAACATTTTAGTCTTACTCTTACATTGGGATTGATTTTTTCTAACTTTTGTAAATGATTTCATCATATAGGCCTTCAATTGACATGTGTTTACAAAAATGATATGGATTTGAGGTTTGCTATGAGCCTATGAGAATAGAAGTGTAGGAGCTTTTCTTCAACTTGTAGTTAGCATCATATATGGCAAACCAACTGTTACAACTTACATTTAATGTTTCATAACATCAAAAACTAACAAACGCTGAATGTTATGCGCAATTGGTCTATGGAGTTTTTTTTGGGCAAAATATCCCAGTTTGCGGACCACATCTATAGACCTCTGCAGTAGAAGAGGTGGACCTAACATCTGCAGTTGAAAAAAACAGTCTAAAGAAAAAGACACGTTTTTTATTTTTATTTTTATTTTTTTAACATCTTCAGGCTATTAAAAGAAGGGTTTAGGTCATTTTTGGTTATTTAATTTTTGGTTTTGTACTAATTTGGTCACTTAACTCTTTTTAAGTTTTAAAATGTCATCAAACTTTTGGTTTTGTGCTCATTTAATCACTTAACTTTTGGTTTGGTAACATTTAGTAACATAACTTTTAAAATTGTGCTCATTTAGTTACTAAACTCTTAAAAATTTTTCAAAAGTTTAGTGACTAAATGAGCACAATTTTAAAAGTTACGTGACTAAGTGAGCACAAATCTAAAAGTTAAGTGACCAAAAAAAAGTTAAGTGACTAAATGAGCATAAAGTAAAAAGTTTGATGATTTTTTAAAACTTAAAAAGAGTTAAGTGATCAAATGAGAACAAAACCAAAAGTTAAGTGACTAAAAATGACCTACTTAAAAGAAACTAAAATCTAAATAAACTGTTTTTTTTTTTTTTTTTTTTAAATTTTTAATTTTTTTTATTTTTTTTATTTTTTTTAATTATTATTATTATTATTATTATTTTTTAACTTCAAAGTGATTTTGTAATATTTTTATGATTTTGTTATAAATAATTAACAAATCTAGATCAAATTTTATGTATTATTATGTAAAAAGTGAAAATAAAATGGTACACATTAATGTATATATTTGATAAAAACCAACAATTTTGATCGCAAAGTTACTTAAACATTGTAATTAGGAATCAAAGAATTTGATATTTTTCAATTAAATCAATTAAATACATATCATAAATATTTTGCTAAGAAATTGATGATACTGTATTAAATAATATTTTATAAAATTTGGTAGAAAAAATATAAGAATATATTATGATTTTTTTTTCCATATTTATATAAACAATTTCAACAACCATTATTGTAATAAATATTTATTTATAAATTTATAAAAAATGTTATGTTTGTGTCGTCGAACCCTTTTGTTAAAGCAGTGTAATTTTTTTTTTCAAATTGTTAATCATTAATAAAGTTGGAATAAATATAAATTATAAAAAAACAAAAAAATAAAATAAAAATTAAGATATTTGTTTTTTTAGGTGAGAAGATGTCTGAAGACTTTGGTCCACATCTGCGCCAAGAAGAAGGCACATAGACATTTTTAGGTTTGTAATCTTTAAGAAATCAAACAGTCTGTAAAGGCTAATGTCTGCGTTTGGTCTGCACGGTGCAGACAGAAGATGCCAAGGAGATCTGCAGACAAAAAAACTATATAAGGTTTTACACAAGTTGCCTGCTTTTCTCTTTTTCTTGGTACGAATTTGTTTTAAACATATATTTTACAAATTTGCACCTCCTTCACAACTTTGTTTTTTCATGTTTTTTAAAACTTAGTTTTTGTGAAAAAAAATAATCATTTTTCATAAAATTAGTACTTTTTAAAAAAGAAAATTGCAAATTTGGTCAATGTGCTTTGTCATTTTGTATGGTTTTGATCTGCATGGTTCTAAAATTACAAAATTCATCATTTTAAGCAGATTTCATTGTGGTTTTCTCCGGATAGACCCTGTTATCTTTTATCCGTTAAATCACATATGTGCCTGTATGTAAGGGTATTTTAGTCATTTTACATATAATCTCTCTCTCTCTCTCTCTCTCTCTCTCTCTCTCTCTCTTATTAAGACCCTAAATATCAACCTCATCTATCTCGCTTGTCTTTCCTTTCATTCTAGTTTAAGCTCACGATCTTCAAGGTCATTCTCTTTTCCTTAATCATAAAACTAATTTGAGATGATGTCCTTATTTAATTGAAAATATTTCATTAGACTCTTTTCTTTTTTGTCATGATGATTACAGAAACATTGTTATTTTAAAATTGTAAGATTTTACAAAAACCCAAAGGTTAAAACCATTTGCAAAAAAGAACTACATACAAACTTCTAAAAAAGATTAAACCCTACACATTCCATCTTCAACCTTCAACATTTAAAACCTTGAATCTTTTGAACCTACCAAACACCTTCAAACATGACTGGCCCTCTCAAAATTTGTCATCCTCTACTTCACTCTTTGATCAAGAACCTCCAAAAAATCGATCAAAGCCACAAGAACGTCAACACATTTAGCTCTAGAGCCAATCGGATAAAGTTGTGCAATAGACCTTCCAGTGCATTCAAGTACACAAACCAACCTAAGGGTTTGATTTCTTGCTGATCCGGTCTGATCAGAAATTTTGACTGACCCGGTCCAGTCAGTGTGTTTGATACCATCTATTTTGCAGCTTATTCGACCCACACTTAGTCCATAATGCTATGATTCGGTCTGCTGAAAAAAAAGGTTGACTGAAAAAATAGACGCCTTTTGCCTTTGACACATGCTCTCCATCTCAATCAATCGATCCAATCAACTTTTCCTTCGACCACCACCAGTCCTCATTCCAAAAACACGCTTTCTCTTTTTTTTTTTTGCCCTTAACTACCAGATCGCTCCAAAAAAAACACGACGGCCTCTCCTTCTTCAACATCGAATCCTACCACCTCCGGTCTCCTCTCCCAATGCCACTCTCCTCCAGTCTCGTCGCCATCGCGTCTATTCTCCAATAGTTGAAAGCACAACTCCGATTAAGACTATCACTTTTTGATTGCTTGATTGTTTAATTGCTAATTCTTGTTTGTAGTTTCTTCATCTAAAATCAAACTCCGATCAAGACTCTTTCTTTCTATTGTTCTCTGTATCACCATTTAGCAATTAACGATCTCACCAAGTTCGACGGTAAGCAATCATTCTTTTGTATTTGTATTTGTTTTATTTTTTTTCCTGAAATCAGATTAGATGTTATGAAGAAATTAGATGTTATTTAGTGTATGATATCCATAACTTAGGTCATGCCATTTGTTCAAAACTCTACAAGTTATTTTATTAAGGCAATGTGATTTCTAAGTTTCCTTACTCCTGTATTGTCACAACGAGAATCCTTTAATCTAGTGTTGTTTGGGGATTACATAATATGATGGTCCTCAATTTCCGATATTAGCCGTTGTCCTAATTGTTGCTCATATGAAAATCTATCACAATACATAATCCGCTCCGATTGTGTCTCATTTCTATATGTATATTGGATATCTGTACTTTCTTATTGAGAATTATAAGTCTTATAGTTGTAATGGGAACTTTTGGTCTTGTTAATATATGATAGACTTTGACCAACACAATGAACAAAATCTAACTGCTTAAAGTTGCAACTTGGTTTTGGTTTGTTTGTTGTATCACTAAATTGATTCATTTGTTTGTTATAAGACAAAGTTGTTGCTAGAGGGAGAAGAATTCTTCTTCCATGCGAGCTCCTCAGTCACACCCCCAAACTAGAACGACAGAAACGTCTGGGGGTGGATGCCTTCATGTATAGTATCATAACAAATGAATAATAGTGATCAAAGTCATACAACCATCATGATTTATAATTTAGATTTTACATTGTATACAAACTTTGTTTGTTGCAAATACCAAATACAAAATGACAATAAGAATTAGCATGATGCTGTGGCGCCCCATCCTCAAAACCGTTTTGATTACCTGTTTATTGATTTAATGAGAATACAAGCAGTTTTGAACAAGTGTCAACAATTAAGATGGTGAGTTCATAAGAGTTTTGTAAGAGAAAAATATGCTATTTTTCCTTGTAAAGTGATAGAGTGTGCCTCTATAAAATCCAACATTTTCTTTTAAAATGAATTGTAGGTCTTAACTGTAAGAAAAAAAAATGTAAGTAGTGTTGAACTGGAAAATAGTGTTATGTAGTTTCATTATCTAATAAAACCATTGAATGTATGTTAACCATGTAAACCAAATGTATTGTTAATACCCCATGTGAGTTATTATAATCGTACTAAAAGACATAGATGACATGTTACGAAGTTCTTTAGGCATTGGGATGTTATGACATTTGTCACCCCAGACCTGCCGGTCTAGCTGTAGCTGACAGCTTAGGTGCGGAATTATCAGTCCCATATAGATCTATACATAAGTATCACACTCTCTTACGGAAGATTCTGGTTATAATACATGACTTTTGTAGGTACTCTATTAAGTATGTGAAGACAATGGCTCACAAAATTGTATTAACGGTTTACATATAGTGTAATGAAAACCTTTTTGTAAGTAGGATTATTATGCTTTCATAGTAGTTACATAATGTAGAACAATTATGCCTTCAAATAATTATTCATGTTCTATCCCAAAATAGTAGAATAGTGTCAGTAACCTATAAACTATACCTATTATAGTTTATTCATAAACTATACCTATTATAGTTTATTGTAAATGTTTTGTTATGTCTACATATATATATATATATATATATATATATATATATATATATATATATACGTTACCGTGCTTAGATGTTTTTAAAAGATTATGTCATATACTTTACATCTAACACAAATATAAGAACTTTTGGTATGATAAAGCCAATCTTACTAGTTTTTGACCATTTTTAACGACATTAACCGGTAGATAGTGAAATGTACTTAATGAAACATATTTTCATCTTTTTGAGGTATTCAAGGAAAGATAATTTTTATATGTTTAAAACAACTTATCTTGGTTAACACTCATAAAAATGGTGAAATAACTTGGTTATAATCATTTTTGGTTAGAAAAGTCATCTTATGCTCATAACAACCATAGTTTTTATACTTTTGTTTTTGTAACTTTTTCCAAAGACTACATAACATGAAAAATACTTGTTTTTCATAATTATATACTTCAAACTAACAAACCACATATAAGGGTTCAAATAACTAGTAAAAACCATATTTCATGCAAATAACACTTATACACAATGTAGAGATGAACATGTATAACAACTCTTTGTTAATATATAATGTTGATTGTATGCCCCCCCCCCCTAAAACATGAAAATCTCGAAAATATGGGGTATTAACTCACCTTGAGTGTGTTTGTGGTTGGATAAAGAGGTGGTGATGAAGATCCTCAGGCCTAGCACTTGAAGGTGGTTGAAAAACTCTTTGGAGATGGTATTATCCTATGAGTTTTAACACATGATAATGTGTGTAAATGAGATGAATTTAGCATGAAAGTGTGTAGAAACACTAGATTAATAAGAAATACTTACCAAAATTCTAAGAACTAAATCTTGAAGAATAAATCCTTGGAAGGTTTTGAATCTCGTTTCTTGAGAAAGAGTGAAGAAGTTTGAACTGATGGGTTTTGGTCATATGAACATTCCTATGTGCACATACCAACCCTAATGCTTGGATCTAGGTTTCTCTAATTAAACATGCATTGAATCCAAGACTTCTAATGGCTAATTAGGTATAAGAACAATACAAAACCAGAGTTAGAAGCTTACCTTGAAACACTTATTTGATCTTCTTGTTCTTGGAGCTTTAGAGTCATAATTGTCACTCCTCTAATGGCTTACAAACACCAACTAGCAAAGAGAATGATTTGGGAGAGAGGAGAGAGAGGAGGAAATCGGTCAGGGTTTCCTTGCTGTAGAAGAGGTGCTGATTTCCCTATCCCAAGGGGTCTATTTATACTTGTAAGGCTCCTAGGGTTTCACCCTTAAACCCTAATTGGATAACTTAAACCCTAAGCAATCCTAATCCTTTCCATAGATAATCCTTGGATGATTTGAGGCTTATCCTAGCCCTAGAAATCGTCCAAACCCTATCTCTTAAGGATTCATAGCCCAAAGTATAACTATCAAACAATTGACAGTTTATACCCTCTTATTTAATTGATCTCTTTAAGTCACCAAATTAATACTAATTAATCTATGACTTATATTAATCAAATAACAATATTATTATTCCTTATATTATTCTCATAATATATTAATAATATCTATTCTTTCATAATAAATCATCCTGTCAAGTTGCTATGGTGAAGGCAACCCAAAAGGACCATGCACAATCGGGTCAAATACTTGCCTAATATAGTTGTAGCCTTAGACAATATTCCAACAGTCTCCCACTTGGATAAGTCTAGTAACTATACACACAAGTACAGTCTGATTTGCAATCGTAGATCTCAAAGACGCTGTCAAACTTTGATCTAATCAATCTTGTCCTTTAGATAAGGGATCGTACAGTCCTCTGTTAAATATCATGCTGACAATTCTATGGAATAGTTGGTCTAG